GAGAGGTAGGAGGAGAACCACTGCAAAACAGTGCCTCCCACCCCCACCTCCCGCAGTCGTCGCAGAAGGATACCATGGTCGATGCATATCATGTCCCTCCAAAGAAAATAACCTTATATTTCTCAGTAAAATCCATTCTTTTATCCAAGTTAATGCAGCCACTTGGTAGTATAACTCCCAATTTGGTAGTCCAAACCCACCTCTAGTTCTTGAATCTGGTAACATTTTTATGTTAATTCTTGCTTTTTTTCCTTGCCAAATATATTTCCACATTATTTTATTCAATTTTTCAAAGTACTTTTTCTCAAGTTTTATTGCTATTGTTTGAAATAGAAATAAAATAAAATATATTCATCCTAATTACCACTATCCTTCGCATTAATGATAACTGTAAGTTCTTCCATTTCTCCACATCTATTTCAATTTGATTTCTCAGTTTATAATAATTATCTTCCTTAATAGTTACACATCTCGAAGTCAGTTGTATATCCAAATATTTCACTTCTTCACAATTTGGATAGCTAACTTCCCCATTATTTCCCTTTTCTGTTTTTCTGTTATATTCTTCACTAAGATTTTTGTTCTATCTTTATTCATTTTCAATCCTGCTACTTCTCTATATTCTTCTATTTGTTCAAGTATCTTTGGACCTGTTTCTACCGGATCTTCCATAATAAACACTAAATCATCTGCAAATGCTTGTAATTTATATTCTTTCTTAATATTCATTCCTTTTATTTCTTTATCCTGTCTTATATTTCTGTTCAGAATCTCTAATGTCAATATGAATAATAGTGGGGATAATGGGCACCCTTGTCTAGTTCCTTTACTAATGGGCACTTTTTCTGTCATATCACCATTTACAATCACCTTTGTTGATTGTTCTTTATAAATCGTTTTAACCATATTTATGGTTAACCTCCCCAAAATCCATCATTTGTAATTGCATTATCATAAATTGCCAATTCACATTATCAAAGGCTTTCTATGCATCCAAGAATAACAATGCCATTTGCTTCTCCGGCTGTGCTTCATAATATTATAAAGTGTTCAATATAATCCGCATATTGTCTCTAATCTGCCTCTTGGGTAAGAAACCATTTTGATCTGAATGTATAAATTCATTTAACAGTCTCTTCAGTCTTTCCACCATTACTGATGCAAAAAATTTATAATCCACATTTAATAAAGAAATTGGTCTATAGTTCTTTATTTGCTGTAAGTCTGACTCTTCTTTTGGAATAAGAGTTATATACGCCTCCGACCATGAGTCTGGTATTCTTGCTTCTAATAGCAACTCATTAAATACTTCTAGCATTACATTGCTTAACACATCTTGTAATGTTTTATAACACTCAGCTGGTAGTCCATCCGGCTCTGGTGTTTTCCCATTCTTTTGTCTTTTAATTCCCTCCATCACCTCCATCATTGTTATTCTCTCTTCTAGTGCCTTTTTAAATTTTCCTGGGATCTTAGGTGTTTCAGCTTTTTCTAGGTATTGTTTTATCTTTTCTTCTACTACTGTGTCCCATTAATATAGTTTTTTGTAATAATTCTGCACTATTTTTTCTTTTCCTCATTTTGGTAACATATTTCCTTCTTGGTCTATTAATTGATTTATTATTATTTTTTCTTTCTCCTTTTTCATTTTATATGCCAACCATTGTCCTGGTTTATTTGCATTTTTGAAAAAGTTTTGTCTTGTTGATCTTATTTTATTTGCCACATCTTCATTTTCCATTAAGTTCAGTTTGTGTTTTTGCAGGTCCATCAGATTCTTGATCTTTTTATTTTGTGGATTTTTCTGTAATTCTATCTCCAACCTCTTATATTCCTCCTCGATCCTCTTTTGTATTTGTCTATTCTGTTTGATCCTTTTTCCTGAATATGTCATTACCAGTGCTCTAATATATGCTTTACTAGTATCCCACACATACTGCAATGATGTATCCTCTTTTCTGTTTTCCTGAAAGAAAAAAGTTAGTTCTTTTTCCATATAGTGCTGGAACTTCTTTTCATTTAATAAGTTTTGATTTAATATCCATCTCATTCTTTTTCTCTGTCCTTTCCAAGTCATTGTTATTGGATTATGATCTGCCCATGTACTTGTTTCTATGTCAATCTTATGT